CCCCATTAAAGAGGGCCTAGCGTCGCTCCATGAAATGAGTGAGTTAGAAAGTTCTACGACGTGGAAGAAGAGATATATGCTCTCAAATAATTAAAGAAAGGCATATATGGCAATAAAAATAAAAATTATCCCCCTTATTTGAAGGTATAGCCTATAGGCTTTTATAATTATGTAAAAAACATTTTTACAACACAAACCACTAGCTTCAGATAAAATATCTATTTTAGTCTAACAAACTTAAACAGAGGGGAAGGGGTCCCCCAGCCTAACCGGTCCACGAATTTTGTCACTCGTCGTAGTTGTGAGAGAGCGCATTGTCAGGACGATAGCTAAAAAATTGAACGCCAGCCAACAGTCCTTCACAAAAAGAGAGAAACAATCCTCGTCGAAATTATTGACTTAATTGATATAACTGCAGCAACGAGAAGGAAGGTTGTAGACTTGTATAGTTATTTCTACAACAATTATTGGCACCAATTATTAGTATAGAAGATGTTGTGCATCCTTTTTACGTACCAGACATTATGAGACATATAAAATATTGTTACTAGTCAACACTAGTCATAAAGATTGCGCGCAGTTGAAGACCTTTTATGTCATGTTCGGCTTTTTAAGTAATTGTTGGTATAGAGCTAAAATAAATAATTAAATGTGATGTGGGCCAAAACACATAAATCATGGAAATTGCAACAATTCTGTTGTATAGTTGTACAGGATATGTGATTTGTATGTTAGAACGCAACTGCAATTTGCAACTCGAAGTGAACCAAACAAACACACACGCACACACTGGAAGGATATACGACATTAATTCATAATACTATTTATAAAACGAATAATGAAGACAAAACGCCTGAACTAGTTATTTTAAGAATGTGCATTGTCTGGACGATAGCTGTAGAATTGAACGCCATGCAACTAACAGTCCTTTTTAAAAACGAGTGAACCGATCCTCGCTCGAATTATTGAAATTAACATTTCTGGCATAATGTTGATTTACTTGAAACTTATATCATGCAGATAAGTTGTTGAAACTGCCTTGAAGGCTGTAAACATTGATGATTCAGCAGACAACCTTGTTTTTAACCCTTGGCTCATTCATAGAACAAGCCTTCTACTCTGCACTTAAACGGAAAGGAATTCAAAATGGCAAATATTCGCTCCAAATAGATTCTCCCATAACAATTAATATCACATTGACTTTAGTAGAGCATAATTATATGAATACCGAAAAGATCTTTACTTGACCCCGATTCAACTGCTAATTTCAGTTGGTCAATTTCCTGCGCTGGAAGAACATACTTTGCGGTAAGGTATAGCAGTTCCGTATGATATTTGGCATCTTTGACACATATAGAGTGTTTTATGTGAATGTTGATCCGAATTACCTAGGTGGATGTCAGAATTAAAACTAATCATGCACCCTGGGGATGACAAACATATCAGTTCAATGTTTATTCAAGATTCCAGATGGACTTAATTCGAACTTTAGCTAGAAGATTGGAATCTGGGAAGTCTGAAGCACTTAAAATCTTAATAACATTTGTAATAAAAAGTTCAACTATTCTTATTTCATCAGATAAACAGCGACGTATGATTATCCAGCGCAGGCGTTAATCAATATTTCATGACAATGCCATCACTCGTTACAAGTAAGGCTATAGTGTTGGTATAAAACTTTAGTATAATCGTATAATAATTATGAATATTGTTGCTATTGTTATGATTCTCTTATTAGCGAGAGTCCAAATACATCAATTATTATTACTGGAGATTTTAATCCCTTAAGTAATGGATTTCAGGAAAGAGTCCTTAAAAATCATTGTAAGTTAAAACAAGTAATCAGAACACCAACCAGAGGTAACGCAATTCTAGACTTAATCCTGACCAATGCACATTCGTTTTATGAAACACCTGTATCTCTGGCACCGATTGGCTGTTCAGACCACAGCGCTATTATGTGGAAATCGAAAGAACAAGCTCGGGGTAAAAATGAGATAAAAAAGATTACAGTGAGACCCATTAAAGAAACGAGGTCGCGCTTGTTTGAAGACTGTATCGGTCTAGAGACGTGGTCAGCGGTTTACGAGGCCTCGTGTATTAACACCAAAGTGAACGCCTTTTTATCGATTACTAATGCAATGATTGATAACTGTTTTCCAACAAAAATTGTCAAGGTCCATAAAGATGACAAACCCTTTATGACTGGGAGGATTAAACAAATGATATCTAACAGAAATAAAATGTACCAACGTGGGAGAATGGAAGAATACAGATCGCTTCGTAATAAAATTACCTCAGAAATTCGGAAAGAGAAGCAGAAATATTACAGTGAAAAAATCAAACCTGCTCGTTGTTCCAATTCAAAGCAGTGGTGGAAAAATATAAAAAACATTACTGGACAGAGTAAACAGGAATTTATTCTAAATAGCCCACAGTCTGATACCCCACTAAATTCAAAAGACACAGCTAATCTGATGAACGAATATTTTACTAGTCTTACTAGTAATTACTCGGAAGTACATGATAGCTGGTTTAATGTTGGAATGGAAGAACAACTACCGAACATCACCGCAGATAGTGTAGCAAATAAGTTAAGTAAACTTAACCCGAATAAAGCAAGCGGTCCGTTCGACCCGAATGTAAAGATAATAAAAACATTCGCAAAATACTTCGCCGAGCCGTTATGTTACATCTTTAACGAATCATTTACTTGCAGAGTATTCCCAGATATTTGGAAAATTTCGAGGGTGTGTGGGATTCCTAAAAGTAAACCCTGCTCTAGGGTAGACCTTTTAAGACCTATTTCATTAACGAGTACATTATCAAAGGTACAAGAATCATACGTTAATGATTGGATTTATGAGGATGTTTATGATAAAATCAGTAGCAGTCAATTTGGCGGTCTGCCTGGAACATCTACAATACATGCGTTGATTTATTTGTTACATAAATGGCATATGGCAATGGAAAGCCCCCAAAGAATTGTTCGTATTACGTTTCTTGATTTTCGAAAAGCATTTGACTTGATCAATCATAATGTGCTGCTAGAAAATTTTATGCAAATCGGCGTTCGTCCAGCTGTGGTTGGTTGGTTTGCATCATATCTTTATAACAGATCACAAGTAACGTCTTTCCATGGAGAACAGTCTGATTGTAAAAGAATCAAGGGAGGCGTTCCACAAGGGAGTAAGTTGGGTCCTATTGCGTTTATAATAAAAATAAACCAATTACCAAAGTCTATTATACCCAATAACCAAGATCAAATATGTAATGCCGTAGAAGGCCAGGACGTAGCGATGTTTATGGATGACACAACATTATCGGAAGTAATCAATGTCAGTGACCATTTAGGTGGCATCCCAATCGGTAATACTCAAATGAACGTAGACAAGGTGGTACAGTTTGCAAAGGACGAAGGAATGGAACTAAACTATAAAAAGTGTATGGCGATGATTATTGACTTTAGGAAAAATATAACCCCTATACCCCCAATTTATGTTGGTGGTCATAATATTTCTCGAACGAAGTCATATAAGTTACTGGGAATATGGTTAGATTGCGATCTTAAATGGAAAACTAATACGGAATATATTACAAAGAAAGCGGCCAAGCGTCTGTATTTTTTTAAGATCTTGAAGAGTTATGGTGCCCCATGGATGATTTGTTAGTATTTTACTGTTCGGTAATTCGTCCTATTTTAGAATATGGTGCAGAGATTTGGAACGGAGGTCTAACCCAAGAGCAGAAAAAGAGCATTGAACGAATTCAAAAACGAGTACTTAGAATAATTTACCCAAACCTAGACTACGACCAAGCAATAACTGAGACAAAATTACAAACTTTGGAAGAACGTAGGGACGAATTATGTGTATCTCTAATTAAAAAAATGCTGGAACCAAACCATAAACTTCATAGCCTCTTACCAAAGAAACTAAAATACATTAGGCAAAAAGAAACAAGAACTAACAGTCAGAAATTATATAATTTCCCCTCTAAAACCGAACGTTTTAAACACAGTCCTTTAGTTTACTGTATATACTTATATAATTCTAGATTAGTTGATTAGGATCATCATTTTTAAAATTTTATCAGTTAATGTACAAATAGGTATGCATTAGTAGTTTTTATACATATTGTAAATAGATATAGATTAGTAAAACTTTAATTTTAATGAATGACATGTAAATATATAATATATATATACTTTTTTATACCCAAATTTGTAAACACATTGTAAATTAGCGTAACTACTACTAAATGTGTTAATAAACCATTACCATTACCACATTATAGGCCCTCTTTACACGAGCCTGGGATGATTTTCAACCCGGGTCACCCCACAGGTGGTTATTTTTTATTCGGTTTACATGAACCCGGGTTGACGAAAATTTTTGCCGACCCGGGTCAGCAATTTTCAACCCGGGCTGGCTCGGGTAATATTCCGAGCAACAGACTGGAGCAGAGTGTATTTTTGGGGCTTATATTCCTTATATACGATTGTCGCTTGTGATTTTAATTGTGTTGTGTAATTTCCTGTACCTCTATTTAGTCAACGGTTTTCTTATATCCTCACAGGGTCTGGAAAGTAAACCATGCCGTGATAGAAATTGTTGAGTGGGTTCGATACCCGCATTTTGGAATCATCACCCGCGTAAAAAATGACACTTATTTAATTAATTCACCCGCATTCATTGAAATTCACTCGCATAATCAGATGATAATTCTCCGTAGGAGATTTCGTAGGAGCGGAGGCAATGCTGAACTAGCCTTGCGTTTATTTTATTTAGTTTTGACCGAACGGTTGCGATTTTACGAAACTTTGCGAAACTTTTATTTATTTCCTTTTATACGAAACTTTGCGAAACTATTATATTTAACCCTGTATTCTGTACCTTATAAATACAAATGATGACTTCCAATTTACGTATTTTAAACAAGAACAGAAATGTAAAATAACAACTAGCTCTTGTCGCCACTAAAAGAGAACAACACTGTTGTTCTCTTTTTGGTTACAAAAGCTAGCTGTTATTGGCATTGTGGTTGTTACAGTGTTTCAGTGTATTGGCATCACCCGCAATTTAGGTGGTCATGTTGTTCACTGTGTATTTCGACTAATTTCGTATATCTGTCCATTCACTTGTTGTGGTTGAGGCTATGTGCGGACATACTCATAGGGTCTTGTCGGCAGACCATGCGGGTCCATGCCGTAAACTATGTGAAACCTAAGGTTTGTGTCATGTGGCTAGCTATTGATAGATAGAATAGGTAGATGTTGTACAATCTACAAAAATGTGGTTTACAGAATCAGGCAGAAAATTTGATTCTGCCACAAGGACAAGACTTAAATTTAAAAGAGAGACTACAGACTCGATTAATATGGATGAAATTGTGGATCGTTGGGCAAAAACACGACGTTTGATAAGTGTTGGATAATATTACTAATATAGGAAGCGTTTCTTCAATGAAATTTTAGAATTAAAAACCAGGAACGATGAGTCGATGATTCTACAAACTATATAGTTCACTAATTCTGCTAAAGCGGCTAAATGGTTTGAACTTATAAGGTTTTTATCTTAGAAGGTATACAAAAATAAAAATGCCTACAAAAATGGAATAGTCTATATTCCGAATCTTCTTCATGATGTGTCTTTTTTTGATTGCATGTACAAATTGGAGCAATCTCCAATGCGTTTATTAATCATGTTTAGATTGTAGTCTTTAAACAGTAAACTGGCAGTTTTTTGAGAATGAGATGGAGTGGGCGCCGGGTGGGTAGGAACTGAAGAGGATTTCTGCACCTGTATTAATACCAGCGATGAATGCGATCATCGTGTTGTCAGCTGACACAATTATGCAGTTTAAATAAAGATTTTATTATTATTATTATTAGGATACTGAGCCATGAAAGTCGGTCCCAAAAAATTTGGCACCCCCCCCAGAAATTTTCGGAATGTGCGCCCCTGTTTTGACCCCGTCGTTTAGACAACGTTTTCTCGCTCAATGTTGTAGCTACAGGAATATAGCTCCCACTAAAATGTAGGCATTTTCACAAGCATTCAAACCATCTGGGTGAATATCGTTAAATTTCGAATTAATATAAGCGGTTGAAACTCGTGCCTAAACCAGACATTATAATATTATATATTCCGACTAGAATGTGTATTCCGACGGCAATTTTTACACACTCGTTAAAGCAACGAATGCTCGCTCAATATTCTAGCTACAATATTATAGCTCCGTAAAATTATAGTACCTGTAATATTCGCACAGATATAGTCGAATAAATTGCATATGTTTATGTTGCATTGTGCACAGCGGCCCAATCTCGCAAGGGTCAGTAATATATGTAGTATTAATAACTTACTGACCGAGAGTGAGGGCAGTACGGGAAAATATCCAACCGAGGTCTTGCTGTATTGACCGAGCGATAGCGAGGTAAATACAGCAAGACCGAGGTTGGATATTTTCCCGTACTGCCCGAACAGTTGAGGTCAGTAAGTTTTTTATTATATGGCATTGTACGTTTTTAAAAAATGGGAAAAAAGGTCACGCGAGGGCAAAGTACAAAGTCCGAAACATTTGCAAAAAAAAACAATTGTAAAAAATGTTCTCAAGCTTGGTTAGTAAGGCCTGGTTCAAACGTCGAACTTCACATGAACCGATCCTAATTCAACAGTTAAGTTCATGTGAAGACCGACGTTTGAATCAGTTAGTTTCGACTGTTTTAATTCTGACCGATCCATTGATAAGTTCGACATCGCTTGTCGGGAATATCGACTGTGGATCGAGTTGGATTCAAACGTAGAACTTCACATGAACCGAACGCTTTGCGTTTTATCCCTCAGCATACCCGCATGTCCCACTTTTTTATTATAATTTATTATAATTTATGATTATAAATATAATTATATATCTTTCTCTGATACGGCGCGAAAAACAGTTAGCATGGCGTGTTGTTCTGGGCTTTCTCAGCCTGTTGATGATCGTTGTTGTGTCTGTTTTGATGAAACAAATTATATTTGTTTAAAATGTGACTTACCAGTATGTAATAAGTGTTCCACTTATGAAAATAATGAGGAAGCAGTAGGCTGGATGATGGGCAGAAGCGTAGGTTATTGTTCGGCATGTCACAAACCCGAACCCAAAGGCAAAGACATTGAAAGGAATGAAAGCAAATCCAAAGCTAACAAAACTGTTAAAGGGAAACGTCCAAAGAATTTTGATGTAACTGACTATGCAATATCAACTGGCAGGTAGGCTAACAATAATTTTGTAAGATGATGTTCAGATATTGCAAATTTACGTGTATCAGTGTATTGTATTGGTCGTTTACAATCGACGTCGCCATCTTGGTTGATTTCCGTGGCATCTACAAATCTATATTATTCATTCTTTGTCCTATTGTGCCAGAAATCGTAAAACTATATATAATACAGTAAGATGTTTTCAAAGCAAGTCAAAAATATTAAAGTAACTCAACTATTTCGATGTAAATGGCAATGCATTTTTCAACCTCGTTCCCAGGCTCTTTCCTCTTGTGAAGCAAAGACCCTGGCTGGGGCTGGTCACGTGGCACGCAGATTCTGCGTGCTAAAATAAAATTGTTATTAGGGTAGGGTGGCAGGGGAGCGCGTTTGGAAAATGACAACTTGTGTAGTTGTGTATATTATAGTTTGGGATAATAAAATTTAAATTTGCAACAAGAAATCTTGAAAGATTTCGTATTTATTATGACACGACTTCGTCCTTTGTATTATTGAGTGTTGGGTTACATTGGTCAAGCGAGAAGTTGGATCAGATTTCAGTGGACACAAGGCTTTTGGCAAGGAAAGCACGCTTCGCTATAAAAACAGTAAAACACAATCTATAAGTGTAAAAATCTTCTAGATCGATCGAGCAAACGATGTGGTTACGTTGTGACTGTTGTGACCGATACGCAAACCCAACGGATTTACCTTACGTATAGAGATGTGGAATTGCTATAAAATAACGAGATCCTAGCTGTCGGCCTGTCATCTTGCCAACTGTGTGTAAATTCTAAACATGCTCTCCCGACTGTTAGAGACCGTTAAAGACTGTGATATATGCCGTTTTGGCCATCGCTGAGACTCCATGATCAAGAATATATCATGTTCAAGTATAGTTTTCTGTTATCAAACGTGTATCATCCGATGTAGGCAAAGTCAAAGACTCGTCCGTGCGTGCGGTACAACTTGAATATTTATATTTATTTATAGTATTGTATAATATGCGTATATAACAATTATTTCATATTTATTACAGTAATATACACCCGCACATTATAAATATTATATAAAGAGCTTTCATTGCCATTGGTTTTGTAGCTGGATCTATCCAGAATGTCCTAAATTTTAGTTCGTAGAGTTACATGAGATCCAGCTTGTATTTTTAAATAAACGCATACTGCCCTGCTGTGAGACATCAATATAATTATTGTCTTTTTAGAATTAAATGTAGCATCCAACTATGCCTCACTGGAGACAAACAGCCTATCAATAGAAATTTTAAAATGCTAATATACAAACTCATCAAGTAATGCTATCATATGTCTGTGCGAGACTTTGTTGTGCCGTGTGCGTATATGGAGTTTATGAATTATGTACCTGTATATATCCCTGACAAAATCTGGAGACACTTTATTCAACAAATAATAGAAAGATACTTCCCTAAACCTTACTCTGCTATCATTCCTTTGCATTCACTGTGCAATGCATAAAAGGCGGGGGTAAATCGCTATAGTATAGAATTATATAGAAGATCTGTAGATTGTACTTCGTGCAAACAAAAAAGGCGTACAGTAATTGTCTTATAATTCTGTAGTGTGCTTTACCAAGTATTGTACCTTCCTACAGTACCTATAGTGTTTAATATAAATGATCAATACTTTTAATTAAATAAAATCAATAGCATATAAACAGGTTAATAAATTTTAGAATCAATAGCGTATAAAAGTTAAATAATTTTAGAATCAATAGAATGGACATTCAATGTCTATTTGGCTGGTGTCCAAATGTGCAACGTTTGCCGTCCGAACGTCCTAAACATGCAGTCGCTCTTGAGACCTGTATTGAAACAATTGAAATTAACAAGTATAAAATCTATGTAAAGTTTATACCGTTTCCAAAAAACAATAATTTAGTGACATATCATAAAATTTTAAAAATAGGTGAACGAGATGCCGAGCAGAAACGTGTGAAATAAAAGTGCGCCCAAGCCCGAGAACATAAGAACTATTTCAAGCATACGATCATACGCTTTTATTGCTTGATTTCCTGACTTGTCTGTTGCTATAAAAATCTGTTTAGCATATTGTTATAATTTAAAAGCAAATACAAATCAAATTTGGCAAGAATATATGATTCTCAAAGTTGACAAACGCTCACTCCTTGCAATAGAAGTGTAAAGTACGAAAGTGGAAGCATGTAATTTGATACTTTGCCTACTCCCCCTTGAGCGATCAAATTTCCGTGTGACACGTGACCAGCCCCAGCCAGGGTCTTTGCTTCACAAGAGGAAAGAGCCTGGGAACGAGGTTGACTGCTGCATGGCTTCTTTAGAAATGGCCAAAATATTTTCATGAGGTGAAAGATGGAATTTTCCAAGTTCCATCTTTGATTGAATGAAAATATTTTTACTCGTATTGCACGAATGAAAACATTATTTTTTTATTATTTGTTTATGTAACACCAAAATGCTTTTTGGACTTGTTTGTTGAATTTTTATATTAATTTTGAACATTCTACATGTAACTCAGGTATATATTTGTTTTATATTTAAATTCATATCATTGATATCAATCATTCAGTAATTGCATGTCAGTTGATCTACATGTATATTTTTTCATTTTATTTTTAATAAAACGACTTTAGTTTATTTTAAAGTCTTTTCTTTGGAACAAGGTGTAATTCGCGTCCTTAGTGTGAGTAGTAACTGCACAAGAGAAAATTTAATAAAACCCATGGTTATTCCAAGTCGGTTTGAAATGTTTGAATTTCCTTGTTCGGACTTAAATTAATGTTCATGTTGCCACATCAGAAAAAGCAGTAAGAAGTAAGAATTCGTTTAAAACATTTAAAAATATATTCCTAAATCCATTGCAAAAAAAATTTAAAATAATCTGAAGTGCATGCAACGCCATTGAATCGTACCTTAATGTGAACATAAATTAGTAAGTTGGTGCATGCAAGCTAAAAGCGCAGTTAAACCGGATTATAACGCCTTTAATTAAAGTTAATAAACTAAAATAGTGCATGGAAGACCTTAATTAGCTACTTGGTTTTAACGAGCCATTTTGCCTCGATGTCGGTCAATTTTTTCGTTTTGTTGGTAAAACAAGTTATTTCTAGATTTCAAAATTTTCCTGAAGCATACTCCGCGGACCCCATAGGCCTAACCAAAACTAAAACCAATCGTCCGACGCCTGTACATGGCTCATCAACATTTTTTTGTGCCTGCGAGCAAAATGCATATAACGTTAGATCTCATTTAAATTAAATGCCTGTAGAAATCCAAAAGGTGCATGCAGTGAGCGGCGCTCGCGCATTTTAATGATGTCTGATGCATCATCCATGGTTATAAAATCAATAAATGAGTTCGTGTTGTAGTATAAATGTTTTATAGATTATAGGTGCTGTATAGATGTGCTCTGCGCGAGTTAGAATGCCCAGAATGAGATTAATTGCACAGGAGCCTTTCGCCTCCGAGTGACCTTTAAGCTGATTCGATGAACCTGTGGATGAACGCATACGCCACCCATAGAGCACTATCGACCTGCAACCTCGAAGCGTCAAAACCAATTAGACAAAACAAATAAAAGAATTCTGACAATCAACGGAGAAATATTGGAAAAGGAATTAATATTTAATTAGCTGTCACCGCTGACTGATGTATATGCAGCTGATGGCATCGACGTGCGTGCGATATGCAAAAATAAACATGGCTGAGCTGATGTTTACTGTGTATAAACATTCCAAAATTACTTACTGATGAACTCTATATCGTATATTCTCGAATTTTTTCTTAAAAAATTAAATTTATAAACAATTTCTTGACAAAAGTTCTGTTAAGGCGGCTTGATACAGTTTTTAATATTTCTTCCTTCAACACACGCGTGCGAAATTCACTCTAAAATAGCCTGTTGCTTTGTGCAGTTGGAAAACGAAGCACAGTGAGACCCAAATTTTTTTCGTAAATAAACGCAAATTTTAAAATGTCTTTTCTTCGATAAAACTTTTTTCATTGGCATTACAGAATTTTATATTTTTGGTATATTGAAAGACTTTTGCAGCACAATACAGTGTGCAAAATTTCAACATATAAGGTTATTGACGTCAGCAATTGAGAAGCAAAGCGGTATAAAATACGTGCAATGCAAGTCATCTCAGATTTTATCAACTTTGAATGAAAAATTGTGACTTAAACATTTTGAACAACACAGTAAAAAATTCTTTCAGTAATCCCATCCAAGAAAATCTATTCAAATGCCTTTCCATGCTGGTGTGTTATTTCTTCAAACAACCGTTGTGTTCACTTGTATACAATTCAGTTTAAACTAAGCATGTGGTTTTTGGGATACCTTGGTGTTTGGGGTGCATATTATACATGTAGGCAATACACTTCTATATTGGTAATTTTAACTAGTCTTAGAATGTGCCTTAAATGCCACTGGGCACAGACCACCATAGAATTGACTGCCATATTTGGAAAAAAATAGTTTAGTTGATGAAAGGTATAATTCTACATCTTCGCGCTACACTATAAAGTATCATTTAAGTACTGAATAAAATTATCCAATAAATAGTTGCAACTCTTTGGGTTAGGTTAAAATGCGGAAGCGGATGAGGAACGGAACGGATGCGAAACGGAACGGCCATCCGTTAAAATGCGGAACGGAACGGATATGGGGTTAAAATGCGGAACGGAACGGATGGGGTTAAAATGCGGAACGGAACGGGTATGGGGTTAAAATGCGGACCGGAACGAATATGAGGTTAAAACTTAATTTAAAACCTATATCCGTTCCGCATTTTAACCCCATATCCGTTCCGTTCCGCGTTTTAACCCCATATCCGTTCCGTTCCGCATTTTAACCCCATATCCGTTCCGTTCCGCATTTTAACCCCATCTCCATTCCGTTCCGCATTTTAACCCCATATCCGTTCCGTTCCCCATTTTAACCCCATCCGTTCCGTTCCACATTTTAACCCCATATCCGTTCCGTTCCGCATTTTAACCCCATCCGTTCCGCATCCGCTTCCGCATTTTAACCTAACCCCCAACTATTTTGCGGCAATCCAGCCAACCCTGTCTCAACGTACAAAATGTTACAATTATATATCAATTATGAAATGACATTTAAAGGCCCGTTTACACTTGCAATTTTTGCTGCGATTGCTAGTGCGATTTTCTTCTTTTGATGGATGTGAACGAGTAGATGAGTTACGAATATTCGGAGAACAAGTACCCTCTTCGGAACTTTCATAACTTATCCACTCGTTCACACCCATCAGAAGAGGCAGATCGCACCTAAAACCGCAGCAAAATTTGCAAGTGTAAACGAGCCTTAACAAATCGACAATGGCTGAAAGCATTTACATCTAACCTGCGAACGGGCATGCTCTGGGTACAACATTGGCGTTAATTTAGAAAGTGATTAGAATGTGACATTTTCTGTTTAATTACAATTTTAAGAAATTACATAGCTGTTCCTAAAAAAGAGTCTATTTGTTCTTGTATTAAACATGGATTTGAACTAATTATATGCAGTTTTTGAGGAATATCGCTTTTTTTTCCATTAATTTATTATGACACATTGGGATTGCCAGGTGATTATAAAGAGCTTAAATACACGTAAAAGATTTTTTTTATTTGAAATGTTGGAATCTCAATTGGAAACTATAGTGATGTATCCATGATTAAAAGTTGATCACAATATGAGTGACAATGTCTAACGAAAAGATAATTAAAATGTGAGACGATTTGGGATTACGTCAATATTATGTGTATGTTTTATTAAAAGTAACTAAAATTGAAGATTATTAGCATACCAGGAGAATATAAAAAGAAGGAAGTGAAGAACTTTATCACACTAAGACTTTGAAACCGAAAGGCATTGGAAGGAACTCGATTATTTTGATTACTCTTGCCTTGGTAAGTTTGCTTCAAATTTCGTTTCAAGAGTAAGACGTGTTTTCATTTTATATATGTATTTCATTGATTTCGCCTGTGCAAAATTTAAGACGTATGTGTGGTATTTATGGGTCTTTTTTTACCTAGATTTAAAGAGATGATTGCCATAATCTTATTTGCAGTATTACACTCGCAGTTTCTTTCTACAGAAGCAAGATCTCATGCGTAAGTATTTCTCTAGGTTTTTAGTACTATTTAAAACACGAGCAGGAGTCCTTTATCAGATATAAAACCTTTTTCCCCATGCTTTATCAGATATAAAACCTTTTTTCACATGCTTTATCAGATATAAAACCTTTTTTCACATGCTTTATCAGATATATGCTTTATCAGATATAAAACCGAGTTTTTATCACATATAAAACCATCGACACGGTAGTGATTTTTTTTCTTTTCCTCATGTTAATCGGCATACTATATATTAGTCGGCCGGCCAAGGTGGCAAAAAGTGCCTCTAAAGAGAGTTTGATGGCAACTTTATGTTAGAAGCAGGTAACAGGCATTTTCTTATAGTTCAAGCCTTGGTGAATAAGACTGTGTGTGTTACCACTTCTGATTTTTGCTTTATAGCGAAAAATTTGAGAATTTTAAAATTTTGCCTATTAAATCACTATGATGGCAAAAAATGTAAAATTTCATGTTCTCTTATACAAAAAAATGAACTATACCACTAGAAAGATCGCACAAAACTATATATAAGACAATTAAGTGACTAGTGCGATTTTCAAGCCGATTTTGAATTAAAGATGGTTAAAGTTGGCAAAATGGGTACTAATTAGCATTAATTTGGTCATTTCTGCATTTTATAGCATTAAAAACTCGAAATAGGATTGGAAAATTGCAGAACTCACTTAATTGTCTTATATATAGTTTTTTACGCTCTTTCTAGTGGTATAGTTTATTTTTCGTATAAGAGAACTTGAGATTCTGATCATAGTAATTTAATAGGCAAAATTTAAAAATTCTCAAATTTTTGGCTATAGAGCAAAAATCAGAAGTGGTAACACATATAGTCTTGTTCACCAAGGCTTGAACTATAAGAAAATGCCTGTTACCAGCTTCTAACATAAAGTTGCCATCCAGTTGTACAAAATGATGACTTGGCCAGCCGTCTATATAGCTATCACGGACTACAAATATCACTTCTTATTAATGAGTGATTTAAATTAATGAGTGACATTTTCACTCGAAAATGGCATTTTTAACATTTACATCACATGCGATAGTTAAGTGTTCTCTCATGACTTACTGTTGGTTTGGGATCCGTTTCGGAGGATAAGATGATGATAAAATAATTAAACGTGATCAATTAATTAAACATTAAAGCAAAAATGACGTATGGTCGAACTAGGAATGAACATTGTAACGTTGCTTAAACATTGTTTCTAATCGAAAACAGATAACGACGAAACAGATAACAACGTTTCCGCAAGAAAAATAACGGGCTTTGGAAACAATATGGTTCTGGATTTGTTGGGAAACTGCTTTTAATTGTTTGCAGGGAAACGTTCGAGGAAACATCGGAATTTTTCAAATCTTTCCGCAATAATGTACGTTTCTTATAGGGACAAAGTTTTATTGTTTTTTTTACAGTTGTATTGATGGATACTGTGCTATGGCCGCCTGCCGAGTAGTTTCAGGTTCGGGTAGATCACCTTACTGTTGGATTGCTGATGGCGCTCGTTACTTAACATGTGGTGGTAATCACGACTGCACAGGCGCGGCAAATGGTTGGGGAAACTGCTATTTTACCTCCTGTGGATTTGATCGAGCACCGGATCCGCGGAAAGAATTCAAGAAAACATGTGACTACAAAAATGCCAAGATGCTCCGTGACCTTAGTAACGAATGTAGCGCGCCAGGCTACAGCTTTGATTCCTGGGTACGAGCCTACAGACTGACACGTGATATCTATAACAAGTTTAACCCATGCACAGGTCAATTGATTGAAGAAGCAGCCAAGAAGGTGATCAAGTTTTGTTATTGTTACAATTTCTGTGGCCTAGGACAAACAAGCAACGGTTGTGAAGTGAATGGTCTTGAGGGAAGACTTGATCTTAACAAAAATCTTTTCAGTGATTACTCAGCAAGGTAATATTGTTGTTCAATAGTAACTGAATGATTAAGGGTAACGCCTCTATATAATTCTAAGACTCGTTCAAACCAATCAAACAACGTTGGATGAAAAGATAACATACAGTGTGGTCAAATCTGATTCAGCGAAAATTACCAAACACAGTGTTAAAAGACATCCGGCAACAATTTTGCATCAAACAATGTTGAATGATATTAGATCAACATATTGGAACGGGCTTGTCGTCCTTGCTTGTAGCTGAATTGCGAAGAACGTAGCTCAGATATGACCGAGTCAAAGGTGGCTGCCACCAGACGACCCAGGTATGATCACGAGCACAGTTAAGGTGGAAAGATTAGTTTTTGTTGAAGGAAGTAAGTAGCCGGAGAAAAAACTTCGAAGTAAGGAGACAATTAACCACATCGTACTTTACTCACATGAGTTTTCAACTTTTCAAGCACATCAAGGCTGAGCAGAGTAGTTCTCTAACAAGCAGCAATATCCTATACCCTTGATTAACCTTTAGTAGCAGGCTTAACTATTTGCCGCCCGTCTTCGCCTTTAGTACCTTATTTTTTTACTTACAACTATAGTATAGTGTCAAGCTAGCAATGTTACGGGTTCAAGCCCCGTGTGCCCTTCAGTTTTCTCCAAGTAACCCCACAGGGTTTTTGATCGTGAAGGTCCACAAAACATTCAGTGTTAAAACAACAAAATTAAAATAGTTATATGTTAGAATTGGTTTCATCTTGTTTTGTAGTTGCCGAATTGATTGCACACCCGTGGATAAGGTTTGTGGCACACACTGATGTTAATGTTATATATGCTGTATATACTGTAGGTTCTGAAAATGCACCTACTATGTTTTGTGATGTTCAGGGCCTCTTTTAACATATAGGAGGGGACATGCCCCCCCAGCCCTCTTCCTGTCCCCCAGTCGGCAATTTTGTCCCCCCCCCCCCCGCGGT